GAGGGCAGTGTCACTGGCCCTCATATGTGGGATCCGAACCAGGGCCCTCTGGCATCCCAAGCCAGTTCTTAACCATCGTGCCACTCGGCCGGCCCGCATATCCATTTTTTTAGAGGAATACAAATTAGTTTCTTTTTTATTCAAATATAAAAATTTCAGATATTCTATACAGAAATAAGGCTTCAAAATGAGAAAATATAATTTATTTTTAAACAAGAAAACATTTCCTATTGTTTTAATGTCTGAAAAATAATTAAATTTAATCTTCTAATCCTGCTTATTCTCTATGTGTGTCCTATTCCTTGGATTCTAACTCCTTCTAAGCATTTGGTGAAGTAATAGACCAGGCATGTAGATATAGGTACGCCATTTTTTTCTTCACGTTGGGCCTTTACACCAAATTAATTGTTTTTAATTTTTTATCAAAAAGAAATCAAACTTTCAACTAGTAATAGAGTATTCAGGTATTGTAAGCATAGGATGTCTATTTGAAGTAATATATAATCTTGTTTTTAATGTGGTTCCACAATTTATTCTTTTAATCAAATTTATTTTAAGCATTACTATATTGAGAATGGTACTACACCCTTAGTTTTTTAACTGAAATTCTATAAAAAGTAAAGTTTGTTATTTTCCTCTCATTTATTCAAAACATTAATATTACAAAATAAATGCAACAGTTTGTGTCTACTATATAAGTGAGGTAGTTATTTCACTTCCTCAAGAAATTGTGTGTAGTTCATTCTAAAGCATCCAGAATTTATACCCTACTAACTGTGAATCTAAGAAAAAAAAAAGTATGAATTATTATTTTAAATTGCTAAGCAACTAACAAAATTTGCATTCACACATAGTGCCATAGGTGGGGCTCACAAAAATCTCCCTATTATTTATCAGAAAGTTTCATCTGCAGCTAATTAAGGAAGTAAGCCTCCTACATTAAAGATATAAGAAGGGGACTTGTTTCTATGTTTCTATGTTTTTGCTCTGTAACCTAGATACTCCTTTTCTCCAGCTTTTCTATCCTGTTAATTTCTATTTCTTCACTTCTATTCATATTCCTTCCTTGTTCTCATAGATTACAGTTACCTAGGCAGGAAAGCTAATGTAACAAAGGCAGTATTCACATGATTTTTCAAATGCTCTGCAGAATTTCAATTTTTATGATGTACTCAATTTAGAGATTTTTCATAAGTCCGTCTTTCTTGTCCTTACTTGTAAAATGAAATTTTTTTCAAAAATTGTTTGTTTGGTCACTTTTTTTGCATGTATCAGGTTTGTTCCCCCCTCCCCCCGCCTTTTTAAGGACAACCACCATTTATTTTACTTTATTTTTACATTTATTTTTCAATTACAGCTGACATACAATGTTATATTAGCTTCAGGTGTACAACATAGTGATTAGGCATCTCTATACCTTACGAAATGATTCCCCCTGATAGGTCTAGTATACATCTGACATCAGACACAGTTATTACAATATTATTGACTGTTCCTGACACTGTACTTTATAACCCCACGACTATATTTATAAGTGGCAATTTGTACTTTATCCCTTTCACCAATCCCCCCAAATCCCCACCCATCTGGTGACCATCAACTTGCTCTCTGTATCTCTGTTTTGTTGATTCTTTTGTTTTTTTTTAGATTCCATGTGTAAGTGAATTCATATGGTATTGTCTTTCTGTCTGACTTATTTCACTTAGAATGATGCTGTTTATCCATGTTGTCCCAAACTGTAAGATTTTATTCTTTTTTCGCAGCCGAGTAATATTCCATTAAATATATGTACCACTCTTCTTTATGCATTCATATATTTATGGACATTTAGGTGGGTTCCATATCTTGACTATCATAAATAATGCTGCAGTGAACATAGGGGTGCATATAGCTTTTCGAAATAGTGTTTTGAATTTCTTCAGATAAATACCCAGAGGTGGAATTGCTGGGTCATATGGTAGTAATTTTAATATACAATTCTGATAATTTATCAGTGAATACTATTTATTGCTACTTTGTTTGGACCTATTTAATAGGAGTTTCCTGACTTGCGCTCATAGTAAGCAGTTAGGTATCTTGAATTGATGTGGTTTTGCCGATAATCATTCATTCATTCAACAATTTTTAGTTCCTTTTAAAACTTTTAACTTTTAATAGATCTATCTATCTATGCTATTGAGAGAGAAAGAGTTGTTAAATCCAAAATTCTCTGGAATCTTTTTAAAAAGCAGTTTCCTGGCATGTTTTTAGCCAATGTTCCTTTTTGAAGGAACATTGAAGTAAGATTTATATTTGTTTGGTACTTTTGAAACATATTGAGATACAAATCAAAGACTAATTATAACAGTCTTTATTAATTTGCTCCAATGATATAGCTATAAACCTTTAATGCTTTTAAAACTCTGTATTCCATACCACAAGAAGTGAAAAGCACCTTTTTCCTATTTACTCCTTTGCTTTATCTCTGCAGTGTTGATGCAGGATATTTTTGTGTGCGTGCACTGGAACTGTGGTCTTGTGGAACTGAAGAATGGAGGCGCGGACAAGAGAGGCAAAGTTTGCAGAGAAAGGACAGTTTATTAAAGTACAGAGTTACAGCTTTCAAAGGGAGAGGGGGTTCCCGGAACTGTGTTACCCACTAGCTAAAGCAAAAGGCTTTTGGTTTCAAAGACTGTTTCTTGTATACCTGGGGAGAAGAGCTGGCTGGCGCCTACTGTTATCAGATGTGCTCTGTTGTTCAACCTAGAGGGGGCTTTTGCAATAGTCCAGTTGTCCCAGAACATAATTGGGCTGGGGTGTGTTATCTCAGGCCTAGCCCGGCTGTCTCAGAATTGGTGTTTCTGCTCTGGCTGGCGTGTGTGATTTCAAGGCCTATGCTTAGAAGATATGCATTCTACCTGGGGATTTCTGACTGCCTGATGTTATGCTAACTAACCTGCCTTAATCCCCCCTCTGAAGATGAAGCCCTAACCTCTGACTTTCTTTGTTATAGACTTGAAAAAAAAGGCTTTCTTCCCTCAAAATGTGAGCTTGTCACTCTGGCGGGTCCTGTGACTTAAACCTATCTGCCAACTATTAAAATTATTTCACCTGGTTCTGTTATGGTTTCTGCCCTAATCCCCTCTACCACGGCCATTTTACTGGCTGCCTATAATTTTTCTATCTCAGTGTGATAGTCATTTTTCAAGTTTTGCTCTATTAAAATCTAGGTTTGCTGCAGATCCACTTGATATCAATAAATCCCTTGGAACTAGAGACTCCATCAGCATTCAGAAAAGCAAAGGATCCATCCCCGGTAATTTCAAACCTGAAAAGGAAAAAAATCAGTTTAAAAGCCACTTATACCTATAATAAAAAATAAAATTCAGCATAGAGTGATTTGAAATATTTTATATAAAACATTGAGCTCCATACTCACCAATCAATCACCATATGCTACACAAAAATATCTGGCACATTAAAGGGATATATTACTGAATGTAAGTTTTTAATTATTAATAGTGTAATCTGTAATCTTATTTAATACAATAAGTAGAAAGATACACATATATGATATAGCTATATCTCTAGATCTACATTTACCTGTATCTATTTCTATTTTTCATCTATCTATCTATCATCTATCTTTTTCTTTTTTTAAAATANATGTGATATATAGATGATGTATTACAGAATTGTACACCTGAAACCTATGTAACTTTACTAACCATTGTCACCCCAATAAACTTTAATTAAAAAAAAGAAAGAAAAATGATGTGCAGAGGGTTATAATAGTGTTTGGTTCTTGTATTTTGAACAATAATCAGTAACTAGAAAGAATAATTAAGAAAATAGCTTTCTCCAAAAAATATCTTATCCACACATTTTCTCAACCCTATCATACCATTGAACTTAAATGAGGAATTTAATAGTCATCTAAACAGTTCTGACTGTAACTTTAAAAAATTTATTTTTTCCTAGGTTACTGCTTTGTAACTCCCATTGGTACAACATGTTGATCAGCACATATTCTTTACCAAAACTTCCATTTTGACACCTAATTACCTTTTAAAGAAAATTATTTATTCTGTTATGTGGAAAATGAATAGATGGAAAGGGAAACTGAAATTGAAGTTCGGTTAGAAGGCAATGACCAGCGATAAGGACGAGAGGTACAGGTAGCCTGAGCTAGAAGAGAATGAATGTGTGGACCTATCCGGGGATAGACTACCCAGGGCTTGGTGATCTAGGTAAGGTGAGGAATAAGTGGGAAGCGAGAGACAAGGATGCTCCAGTCTTCAGGCTCGAGCTTCTATGGTGACGTTACTCCAGTAAGAGAGGCATCCCAGAGGGGAGGGCTTGGAGGGCAAGCAAATCAGGAGTGCCCAAATACAATCATTGGCAACAATGGAAGGGTCCATTCAAAAACCTCTGCAACATTTTGATTGCTGAGGAAAATCTGTACAAGTTTGGCTAGAGAAATCTTTAATAAATACAACTACTATTTTAAGATAAATTCTCTAAAGTCTGTCTCTTATCTCCTAGTTTTTCAATAATTGGACCAACTGATTTAAGGAGCTGTGCTGTCACAACAAGAAATCAAGTGTATTCCGAAGACTGTAACTCCAAATTTAATGGCATTTGTCAGAGAGATGTCTGAACAACGAACGCAAATCTGTGCATTTAAATAAAGAAGTGGAAAAAATGTGTACGGATGTTAACAGTGCATATCCTTTTTTTTTTTTT